GTGCCGGCGGGTGGGCACCGCGGCCGCTAGAGCCGGGCGCATCTTCTCCGGGGCCGGTCCCGGCGGGAGGACATCCCTCTCATCTCCCGCCCCGGCGGAGCGTCGGCTTGGCGGTGACAGGGTTCTGCGCTCGCGAGCGAGGAGAGGGCATCCCGGAGGGGTCTCGGCTCCAGCTTGACAGGTGTCGGGCGGGTGGGGCTCGGGTTCCTGAGCGAAGTGACAGGTGCAGTCTTTCTGCCGGCGAGGCGGAGGCTCCAAGGCGGCGGGTCATTGCGCGCCCCTCTCACACGCAATAGAGTAATAATAATTTTTTTTAAAAAACGACCTATGTCTGTTAGAGAGTTTTTCTCTCATCGAGATACGGATTGCTCCGGGGGTCGTTTGACTTTTTGTTTTGATCTCCTGCGATGCAAAAGTTGGAAGTCTTTTCCTCTGGGCGTGCACTGCATCTACAGCCCGGTCCCGGAGAGGCCAAAAAACGTCTTGGACTTGAAGCACAGGGTCGTGGGTGTCAGTTGCCCACGGGATCCTGGACCGAAAGGTTTTGTGGGGTTTCCTTAGAACAATGCTCTGTGCCGTGGGGATTTAAAACCATCTGCGGTGACTGGCAGAGCGTAACTCTTTTTAGAGGAACTGATATAGGGGCAAAAGTTTCGGGAGAGTAAGCGCTGGAAAGTTGCTTAACTTTTTCTTATTGAAGAGGGCTCCTCTTGCTTGTTAGTCGGCCTCAGCGTGCCTCGTTCTTTCTTCCATTTTTGCCTTTTGACTTTGAATCAGAAAGAATCCTTGTGTCCCTTTTTTGGTTTTGTTTGGGTACAAAATCAGAGGTGTTCTTGTGCTCACAAGGAACTTTCGCAACCACCTTTTACTAAATGAAATCTAAATTTAAGCAAGTTCATGTGGATGCAGTAAAACATGACAGGGAGCTATTTATTGCGTTTCAACATTATTTTTCTCCCTGGTGTTACTTTATGATTAAGTAGCAAAAAATTTAAATAGTATATGATCATTATTTTTGTCAGCATTGGGTTTACTTTGAGACTGCAGATCCGTTGCAGGGGGATAGGTCTTGTTTTTGACCCTTCCACTCCCTCTCCCATTCTAGTCCGTCACCAAGCTTCATTTTATCCTCAGTCTGAATAGCACCTTTCTTTCCACTCCCCAGATTGTAACAGAATTCAGGTTAAACTGTAAAAGATTGAAATAGAATTTTGTAAATGGACTGTTCATGCCTATTTAAAATTCATCTATTTAAATGAACTGTCGTATAGGTCAATTAAAATCATACTCACTGGTAAGAACAAAATATTACAAGCAAAAAAGGTCTGGGGAATGTTCCAAGAGAAAAATATTGCTTCAGTTTCTGATTAAACTCTGATGAGTCCAATACTTGAAAGTTTCCCTTTGAAAAAAAACAGTAATGTCTATAGAATTCCATGTCATCCACACAGCTTTGTAAGTAATTTTGATTATTGTGGAGTAAGCAGAAATATTGAAAGCTACCCATCACCTTGGAAAAGAAGTTTCTTTCTCTTTCCCTTATCACATTATTTTATATACCTTTAAATGATGTAATTATAAAAAATTCTAAGTTAAAACCATACAAGATGCAGTCTACTTTTGCACACCCATGAAAACCCACAATGGTTTTCATTAGCACAGTTGATCTCTATGGATAAACTAGTCATGTGTTTAGTGACAGGGATATGTTCTGAGAATTGCATCATTAGGTAAATCTTGTATGAACATTGTAGAACGCACTTACACACCTAAATAGTATAGGTCAATCACTTGATCTGGCTTGATGCAGTCAAGAAGTAAACATGAGATGTATGAGGGTGCTGCTGGAATAACACAGAATGCTGTTTAACAAAACTTTTTTAAAAATTTAGTAGAAGGAGTAAACTAATGATAAAAATATAGTAAATATATATGTGTATATATATAATATAGTAAATATATAAACCAGTAATATAATTGTTTAAATATTATAGTCTGTACATAATTGCATGTTTTATTACAAGTGGCAGCACAGTAGGTTACTTATGCTAGCACCACCCGAAACACAGGAGTAAAGTGTTGTGCAGTGGCATTATAATGACTACAATGTCACTAGGTGATATGAATTTTTCAGTTCCATTATAATCTTATTGTATTGTTGTTAATATACTCAGTTTGTTGTTGACTAAAATGTTGTTTTGTATCAGATCCCTGTCTTTACAAGAGTAGAACTATCATCTGACAATCTGAAGTTCAGGAACTTGTTTTAGGGATGGATTCAGGACCCAGTCTGACTATATTTCCATTGACAAGTCCATTTTTACTTTGAGAGTTGAGATGTTATTTCTGTTGCATTATTGTTGTCTAAGTGATGTAGTTTCGAGAAAAACTGACTAAGAACAGCTTGCCAACTTTGTTACTGAAATAATTAAAAGTTCGTTATGTTTTCAAGAAGGAGATGGCAGTTTAGAATAGTGGTCAAGGACCTGGACTATGGAGTTAGATTTGGGATCATAATGTGGTTATTTCTTAATTTCTGTGATCTCAGGTGAGTGCTTTAATTTCTCTCATTTGGTAGACATCTGTGAAACAAAAATAATGGAAGTACTTAATGTGGGGATTCAGTGAAACCACCATCATCTAAAGTATTTTGTATAGGATCATAATGAATACTCAAAAATTAAGTTATTCCTCACACTGTTGCTATTATTATTAGATGTTAAATAGATATCAAATTAAAGAAAAGAAGTTAGTGAATAAGAATTTATTGAATGCTTACCTTAGTTAAAAAAGGTCAAGGAGTAAGAGCTGAAATAAGTGCTGTAATAGTTAATATTATGTGAAACATTGGTAAGTGTGGACTACAATTTAGCAAACTCACTGTCTTTGAATGAACTGTTTAATATTATCGGTAGACTTTTCTTTCTGTTGTTATTATCCTATTTCCCAAACAGCATTAACTATTGTAATTAATTTCTTTCACAAAGCTGTTTTGCTGCACTCGAGTATATTTGATTAACCATGTCAGCAAATATTCTTCACTGTGTAGCTTCTTTATTTTGGAAAGACTATGAAAAAGATAAACATGTTTAAATTCTAAGTGTAATAATTTTTGAAGATAAAATATTAAAGTACTTATGTGATGTTCTCTTTCAGAATAGTGCTATTATGTGCAAACTGTTGAAACAAATGTTTATAAGTATGTGCCTGTTATATGATTATTTTCGTTTGTTAGGCTTGAGTTTGAAGAAACCGAAGAACCTGATTTCACTGCCTTATGTCAGAAATTAAAGATACCGGATCATGTCAGAGAAAGAGCTTGGTTAACTTGGGAGAAAGTTTCATCTGTGGATGGAGTATTGGTAAGGATTTTCTTAAAGCTCTTTGAAAAAAAAATGTTCTCATTTAAAAAATAATTTCAAATCATTTAGAATATTTGGAAAATAGAAAAAAAGGAAATAAAAATTAGTAATAATTCCATTACCCAGAGGTTACCTACTTCTGATAACATGAAAGTGTTCGGAAAAAATCTCCACAAATAAACCTCCCAGTGAAGTCTTTTAAAGCAAATCTTAGGTATTGGATTTTATTTGTAAATACCTCACTATGATGTACAGACTTTAAAAAATATCTTCTAATATGCAACCAGTGCTTAGAATCAGTCTTAGAATTAGTTTTGTTAGAATTCAGGATCTTTGATAATATCTTGATACATTTCTTCCAATTTTTCTTTGTGTGTGTGTGTGTGTGTGTGTGTATAAATATATAATTATAACAGCAGAAAATAATTGCTGTTGTTTTTATATGTACCAGGATAACATTCCAAGAACTTTGCAAATAAGTCATTTAACATTTCACTGAGATATGAAATATAAGATCTTTACATTTTATATTTAAATGTACAATCTTCATTTTATGGATGAAGACACTGTACAGAGAGGTTAAGTAACTAGGCCAAAGTCCCTAGAAAATAAGATCTCAAAATACAAATTTAGAATCATATATATAGTTATATGTAGTTATCCATGATTTTTTATCTTGCTTTTTTGCATTTCAAGTATCATGAACATTTTTTTTTGTTTCTTTATTTACTTGTTTTAGTAATATAGTTTCTAATGGTAGTATAATATTTTATCTATAGTTTGGTTCTTAGTGGTATTGGACATTTAGTTTTTTTTCCCCCAACTTTTGGTATACAGGCACAAAATAAGTTGAGAAATAATTTTGAAATTATTTTTAAATTTGTGAAATAAATTAATTTATGGATATCTGGCATTTTTTCTTACAAGTTGGATTACTGAGTCAAAAGCTATGCATATTTTTGTGACTTGACAATTATTGCTAAATTACACTCCAGACTGACACTTTGAATTTACTTTATCATCATCATAGTATAAAAGCACATGTCTGTCTGTTTTTACTAATCAGATCAGCACAGCAAAATATGTTAATATCCCATCTTTAAAAATCCTATTAAACATTCTCTCAAAACTGGATATAGTGGTTCATGTCTGTGATCCAGCAACTTGGGAGGCTGAGGCAGGAGGATCACAAGTTTGAGGCTAGCCTGGACAACATAGCACAATCCTGTTTCAAAATAAAATATAAAAAGAGCTGGGAGTATAGCTCCATGCTGGTTCCATCCCTAGAGCTTAAAAACAAAACAAAACAAAATGAAGCTCTGCCAGTAAAAAAGAATAAGTTTCATAGTTTTAAAGATCTGAACATAATCTCAAACTCCTTATTTATTTATTTTAAAATATTTTTTAGTTGGACACAATACCTTTATTTATTTATTTATTTATTTTATGTGGTGCTGAGGATTGAACCCAGGGCCTCTGATGTGCTAGGCGAGCACTCTACTGCTGAGCCACAAGCCCAGCCCCTCAAACTCCTTATTTAAAAGAAGAATACTAAAGTGTTTTGGATATATGACTTGGGTATTATCACTCCAGAGTATCTAGTACATATTGCCACTGACTTGGGTACTTTGTGTATAAAGATGTTTTTGTGTATATGCAGCTAAAGGGAGTCATAGCTCTGTCACCATTTCCTCTTTCTAAAATATTTTAATTTTCAGAGAATTTGGAAGGACTAGCTACTTAATAGAAAATATTAGTGAATACAGCTCATTTCCAATTTATAAGTGTATTGTGTTCCAAATCTGTTTGCAAGTTGTTGTTTCCATCCTAGTTTGTACAACTTTTTTTTTTGTTTTAATACTGAACTGTAACAGAAATAGTTTTAATAGCAGAGGCCCTTTTGTGCTTCAAACTTGAATACATATACAAATAAATGGGACTTTCTTACCCGACCCTTTTCTCTTCCTGGATTTGTCCCTTCCTTCCCTGAGAATTGGCATCTTTATTATTTCCTGATGATACTCATGATGGGGAATGGGACATATCAAATCATTCCTGGTTGTGTCCTGAAAGCAACAAAGCAATTTCATATTACTTCTGGGATTTGGGAAATATTTTTACAGATTGTGACAGAAGATGATGTTCTTTTGTCTTATTATAATTCAACAGAACCTTTGGTTGAAGTATTATTTTGAATGATAGTGAAGTTTTCGAGGATTGGCCTGAGAATTAAACCTCTCTTTATACAATAATTTCCAAGGGAGAATTTTTTCTGAGAAGCAAATGTTACGACACATTATGACACAAATTTTATGACACTTTACTTTTTTTCTTTCTTTTTTTTTTTTGGAGAGTGGTAGTAAGCATTGAACCTAGGGATGCTTAGCCACTGAGCCACATCCCCAGCCTTTTCATTTCTTATTTTGAGACAGGGTCTTGCTACATTGCTTAGGTCCTTGCTAAATTGCTGAGGCTGGCTTTGAATTAGTAATCCTCCTGCCTCAGCTTCCGGAGCCACTGGGATTACAGGCACTAGCCACTGGGATTATACGCGTGTGTCACCGTGCCCAGCCAGTTGTCCATTTTCTTTGAAGCAAGAAGAGGAATGTAATAACTTGAGGGACTTTTAGCATTTCAAAGTGGATGATGCTTATTGGGATATAGGATGTGGAGTCAAACTGAACTGTTTCAGGTCTCAGATATATCATTTATTATCTCTATAATCTTGAACAAGTTACTACAAATCTCTTAAGATTTTTTTTTAATCAGTAAAAGAAGCTAATAATAATTTCTGAATTTTGGAATCTTATACAGATTAAATAAAATTAATGCATATTAAACACTTATTAGTGTCTGTGAGTGAATATATTAGGTCATGCAAGCAGAATATTTCACTTAAGAATTAATTACCCTGGAAAATTTTATTACTAGTATAATTTTTAGGAGAACTTAAGAATCAGTTAAAATAGTTGTTTTTTTTTTTTTTTGGCAGTGTTAGGGATTGAACCCAGATCTTTGCACTCGTGAGGCAAGCACCCTACCACTGTTACATCCCATCCCCTAAATGGTTGAATTTTTAAATGCATGTTTAGTGATTCTAATGTGGTACTTTTATTTAAATTCTTATTTTTAAGTTCTTTTTAAAAATTTTTTTTAGTTGTAGTTGGACACAATGCCTTTATTTTATTTATTTTTATGTGGTGCTGAGGATCGAACCCAGTGCGTTGCAATGCTAGACAAACGCTCTACCACTGAGCCACAACCCCAGCCCCTTAAGTTCTTTAGAGTGAGAAAAATTGTTTATGCATACATGAAAGCATATATTAAAGGGATATAGTGATCCTTTTAATAAAAATTTTATGATACTTTGTCTAAAAGACTTTTTAAACAACATTTTAATATGGTATATGATTACTGTCATAAAGTTTCAATTTTCATTAATAAATCAACTAGGAGTGCTGTTTATATTGTGACTTACAGTGAATCAGTTGTTAGAATTTTGGTTTTCTTTCTGTATCTTGAATGCCAGTATGGTAAAATGGAAAAGATGTTGGACTTCAAGGCAGAAAACTTTAGTTGTACATTAATTCTCCCTTGTCTGAGGTTCTGCTTTGCTCAGTGTCAGTTACCTGTGGTCAACTGGGATCTGAAAATATTAGATGGAAAATTCCAGAAATAAACAATTCCCAGTTTCAAGTTTCATGCTGTTCTGAGTAGAATGGTGAAACCTCTCACCGCCTCATTTCATCCTCTGGAGATGTGAATCATTCCTTTGTCTAGTATATCTATGCTATATCTGCTGCTTGTTGATCAGTCACTTAGTATCCTTCTTGGTTATCAGATTGACTATCATGGTATCATGGTGCTTATGTTCAGGTTACTCTTATTTTACTTAATAATAGCCCCAAAGTGTAAGAGTAACTATGCTGGCAATTTGGACTTGATAGGGAGAGGCCATGAAGTGTTTCCTTTAAATGAAAAGTTAAAAGTTTGTTATAGATTGTATATGTATAGCATTACCTCCGAGATCCTGTAAGTTTGGTTCCAGGTCACTGAAATATTTATTTTATGACATCTAGAATTGAGAATCCTTTCCAGAAAGTTTTCAGTTTCTTTGCTTAGATCCATCAGAGGGATTTATGGTAACTATAGCCTTACAAAATAATGTCTGTCTTAAATAATAAGACTTGGAAGTCAAATTAGTCTGTGATCTGTGGGCTGCTAAATGGATTTTGTTTTAGCAGGCATGAAAAAAAATTAATCTTGTTGTACATCTCCATCAGAGCTCTTGAGTGGAACTCTTGTTGTCAGTCGGCAATAATATTTTGAAAGGAATCTTTTTTTCCTGTTTTTTTTTTTTTTTGAGCAGTAGTTCTCTACAGTGGGCTTCAAATACTTAGTAAGACCTGTTTTAAACAGATGTGGTGTCATATGAACTTTTTTATTTTTGTTCAGGTAGAGTATATTTTGAGAATAATTCTTAAGGTTCTAAGATTTTCAGAATGGTAAATCAACATTGGCTTCAACTTAAAAGTCACCAAATGTATTAGCCCCTAACAAGAGAGTTACTCTGTCCTTAGAAGCTTTGAAGCTATGCATTGTCTTTTCCTCTCTAGCTATGAAAGCCCTAGATGGCATTTTCTTCTAATATAAGGCTGTGTTAGCTTTTTTTCACTTGACCAAAATGCCTGACAAGAATAATTTAGAGAAGGGAAGATTTATTTTGGCTCATGTCTTGAGAGGATTAAAAAAGTCCATGGTTGGCCAGCTCTATTGCTCTTGGCTTGAGGTGAAGCAGAGCATGTGGCAGAAGGGTATGGTGGAGGAAAACTCAGCTCAAGTCAGTAGGGAGGCTGTGAGACCAGGAGAGAGGAAGGTGCTGGGGAGAAGATAAACACTTCTAGGACCCACCTCCAGTGATCTATTTCCACCAACTAGGTCCTACCCTTGAAACCTTTCTGCACAGAGGATCATGCTTTCAAACATGAGCTTTTGATGGC